AAAAGGTTTAAATTACATAACATCCATAGTAACATTTTTCCTATATAAAAAATACTGTTTTTTCAAAATATCATCCTAATCTATATTTAAATCAAACCATGTGAGCACTCTTGTTTCACCATATTCATTTCAAGGACAGTTACAGGAACATTGTGATAACAATTTTCCATCAATATCACAGCAGGCTGATTTACTCAGCAGCACATAACTGCAGTATTTTTATTAAAGCTTTGAAATCTTGAATGAGAGGTGGAGCACTAATTGTGGACATGTAATATACTAAATTTCTAAGACTTCAAAGGGAGCATAATTAACTCAATGCCATATAATTGCTCCAGGGACAGAAAAAAAAGATGCAAACAGAATTGATATGCCCATTTTCCCCCTTAGGAATTAAATGACAATGCTAAGTGAGCAATTTCTTTTTTAAAACTCATTCTTTTGAATTTTAAGTTGATATTTTCTTTGACTATTTTAACAACTTTCCATGACAACTTATAAAATATAGGAACTAGTGAAGCTGGGAGTTCTGTTATTCCCTCTCTTTGACCAGAATTTCTTACTTCCTCTTCTCCCTCTCTTCAGTATTTATTGAACCTGTTTCTTTGACTTCATCATAACATTTAGATCCTTTCTCCCTCCCGTTATTCCAATGTATCAGTTCCTCTATAGCTTCATTTGCCTTTCTATCCATCATGTAATCCATTGTAAGTCATTTCTATGTCTCATAGGACCTGAGAGTCATGTACCCCGTTGACCTGCTGACAAGTTACCTTACCAGTTTCCAGCTCTGCGCATCCCCTAGCATCCACTATCAGCGCTAGTTGCAAAGATGTTGAACGTGGCTGGAGGAAGTTGGAGAATAGAACAGATTACATCTAAGGAGGTCTTTAATTTTCTCAACTGTAAATTTGGAATTTGGGCAAAATGTTACATGTTGTACATTACAGATCTAAAATATTTAAGAAATACTATCAACTATAACAACAGCTCTTTAAAGTATCTTCTGATAATCTCCAAAACTCTGAAAGAACATCCTGGAATTTATAACTGAAGAAAGTCAATTGAGATACCTTCCAAACCCCAATAAAATATAAGGGATTGAATAGATATACAAACAAATAGCCATGAGAAAAAGGGACAGAAACCATCTGAAAAGTGTTTTTTTAAAATAAATTACTGAAATGGCAGAAAGCAAAGATGAAATAAAGAACCTTTTGATGAGGGTGGAAGAGAGAGAGTGAAAAAGTTGGTTTAAAACTCAACATTCAAAAAAACTAAGATCATGGCATCCAGTCCCATCTCTTCATGGCAAATAGATGAGGAAACAATGGAAACAGTGACAGACTTTATTTTTGGGGGCTCCAAAATCACTGTGGACAGTGACTGAGCCATTATTAAAAAACACTTGCTCCTTGAAAGAAAAGCTATGACAAACCTAAACAGTGAATTAAAAAGCAGAGACATTACTTTGCTGACAAAGGTTCGCATAGTCAAAGTTATGGTTTTCCAGTAGTCATGTATGGATGTGAGTGTTGGATGACAAAGAAGGCTGAGCACCGAAGAACTGATGCTTTCAAACTGTGGTGTTGGTGAAGACTCTTGTGAGTCCCTTAGACAGCAAGGAGATTAAACTAGTCAATCCTAAAGGAAATCAACACAGAATACTCATTGGAATGACTTATGCTGAAGCTGAAGCCCCAATACTTTGGCCACCCGATGTGAAGAGCTGATTCACTGGAAGAGACCCTATATGCTGAAAAAGATGGAGGGTAAAAGGATAAGAGGGCAACAGAGGCTGAAATTGTTGGATGGCATCACTGACTCAATGGACATGAGTTTGAACAAACTCCTGGAGATACTGAAGAGCAGGGAAGGGCGGCAGACTGTAGTTCATGGGGTTGCAAAGAGTTGGACATGACTTAACTACTGAACAACAACAATTAAAAAAAGAAAAGCAGATGAAGTAGTGATATCCGCCAAAGTATGGTAGGAAAAGCCAGGATGATACCATCATAGGGGCAGCAACGGAGCACAGGACTATCCTGCCAAGTCCTAGCAATTCTGATGCCTGGAAATGCCAAGCCAATTGGCAGGCAGGAGTGAAGTGGGGAACTGAAAAGTATGGGCGTAGGTTATGTTTTATAAATTTCTGTGAACACTGAATTAGTAAATATTGACCCATTGCTACTAGATGATACACAGGATTTGGATTTTGCAAACCTTTTTTGTTTTATAAATGTTTTTATTTGGGGCTTTCCCAGTGCCTCAGTGGTAAAGAATCTGCCTGCAATGCAGGAGACCCAGTTTGATCCCTAAGTGGGGAAGATCCCCTCGAGGAAAGCATGGCAATCCACTCTAGTATTCTTGCCTGGAGAATTCCATGGACAGAGGAGCCTGGCAGCCTACAATCTGTAGGGTCACAAACAGTTGGACAGACTGAAGTGACTGAGCACTCACACACACATGTTTCTATTTAAAGATGCTATATGTTTTGCAAAGATCTTACAGAAAAACCTGAATGAATTATTGTTTTGTCTAAAAAAAGCAATTATTTCTGAAAAGTATAACTGGATGGAGAAATAGGTAGACCAAAGGATTCTTGCTTTTCATTATAAAACCTTCAATCGTATCCTTTTTAAAATTCTGTCCATCTCCCCGACCACCTCTTTCTCTCTCACACACACGAGCACACGCATACACATACACACACATAAACACACAGAATGAAGTTTCATTTGCCTATCACTATCTGCCTAATACATTCTTATTCATTTTGTAGCACTCTGGTAAAGCAAATTCTCTGTGAAACATTTCCTGACTTCAGCCAAACTCCCTGCAGACTTAGTGAGTTCTCCTATGGAATTCCAGAGCACCATTTACCCATCACTATAATAGTATTTTTCTTTCACATTTTATTATTTAGTTACACACTTACCTCCTCCACTAAATAAGTAATCCTCTAAGTCAGTAACTATTCTGTGTGTCTCCAGACCTCTGATGCTACTTGCCTTTTAAATTTGGTGCTACTTGCCTTTTGAATGAGCTGTGTCTAGGACTTAAGGGGTCAGTCTGTTCTCTAAGTGGGAAATGTTTCTAGAACTAATGAGAGAGCAGAATCAAGGTGCAGTGTTTGAGAACAGCTAAAGGAGCAGCAGGGACCACTACATAGATCAGAGAAGAGTATAAAGGCTTGAGACTTTAAACCCAGCCCATAGTTTAGAGATTATGGATATACAGAGACTATACATAAAATCAGTAATTGTGAAGGAAAAAATGAATGGGAAAAATGGTGGTTGGGTAGTGGAAGGGAGATATATTTCTCAGGAAAATCACAAACATAGATTTATGTATTTGAGAAAAAAGATGGAAGCAGCAGATTATTACAAGTGTCAAGGCTCAGAGTTAAGAACAGGGGGCCATAGCCCCTGCTACGTGTCAGGTAGATACTACATACTACTAGATACATATGTACACCTAGAAAATATGATCTAGAAGTTACCATTTCTTAAGCATCTGCTAGGTGTCAGCTGTCCAATCACTCCTTTAAGGCTTATTATATTTCATTAATCTACAGTACAAATATAATAAATTGAAATCAATAATATTCCCATTTTACTGATGACAAAATGGAAGCTCAAAGCTTTTAAGTAATTTGCGGGCATCACATGACCAGAACGTGACTGACATGGTCTTGTACCTGTGTCTTGACTACCATTTCTCTTTGTGAATTAGTACTCATGCCACTGGGCCTGGTTCAAACATGCCCTCTCAATGAAGCCTTCTCTGATCTTCCCAACCAAAAGTGACCATAGATACTTCAACCTTATTTATTATAATTTTAAGATTCCAATTTATATTATATGCCCTTATATATTTGCCTTCAGCCTTCTAGCAGATTTTGTCTTTCTCGAAGGAGAGGACAAACTCTTGTAAAATGAAAATACTCTTTCTATTGGGGAAACATTTAGTGGTTCACTCTCTGAGTTACTTGCTAGACCTTGAAAGGTCAAAGTTCTATATTTGATCTTAAACTGAATAACAAAATTTTCTATTAAAATAAAAAATGCATTATAGATATTTTCCAAGTTTATTCTTCTTAGTGATTTATATTCTGCTTCAAGTTCTCTGATACCAATTATATAGAGTGTCAAAGAACTTCTAACACATTCTTAATTTGGAGGCTTTACATCAGTACTTTGGGAGCTAAAGAAAACATATTGCAGAAGTGAAGAAAACTCTATTAGTGAAATAAAGCCACCCCAAATTTTAAAACTAATAATAAAATCCATGTGAAAGTATGTAACATCATGACTAATTTCAGCACTATATATAGTCAAAAAGTGATCACAAAAATTACTTGACAATAATCTTTTTTAAGGGAATAGCAAAGATTTTAGAATATAGAGATTGAATAGTCTCAACTGTATTTTTACAAAGTTTCAGAGCTTCTAGCCAAAGGTACAGATACAATTAAAATTTTGACGATCCAGCACCATAAAATGCACAATGGTCATCACTTTGCAGAGTTTCAGACAGTTTCAATTATTTGTCTTGCTACAGAGTTCTGAATATAGAGGAGAAGAACCTGCTATATGTTTTCATAATAGGGATCATATTTAGGCAATAATAGCTTTAACTCAAATAAATCTTTTCTCAGAAATAAAATTTTAACTTGCATAAAAAAATTAAGTATCAATATTAGACAATTTGTGAAATCCATTCAGGTAAGCAGCACTTTTAAATCCCCATAAGAATTCTTAGTCATCCTGGATAGGTGCCTAAATACATATAAATACAAAGCATTCTTAGCAATTAACTGGACAGTACGGGGTAAATGTGATGAACAAGGAATTCACTGTGCTACCTCAATTAGTGCTAATGAGAGTTGTGTAGTTAATTCCCTCACACTGCTCTTAATTTTCATCTCCTCTGTGGGATCTATTCTGAAACATTTAATGTTTACACCCTATTCCCAGTCCATGACAATTTTTACTTACCTCAGTAATGAAGGATTTGGCTGTGGCAGGATTCATAACAAGGATGGCTCGCCTAAGAGTGTCTCGATAGCGATTCAATTCCTCTATTCTCATGGTGTCAAATAGCGTGGTGATCATCTTATTGATGTTGTTTTCTACCTTCTGAAGTGCAACATCCATCCCCTGCTGAGACACTTTGTCCAGAAACTCCTGGATTCCACGGATATCTAGGAACATCAAAAGCCCATCAACGTGTGAATTAAAGCATGGAAGGGAGACAAAATCTATTTCACTTATATCAATATAGTTTATTGTTCAATACTGTAGGCTGTTTAAACCACTAATGGAGTAGCTGATGGAACTCTTAGATATGGTTAAGGTTGAGTAGAATTTAATGTGTTTAGATGAAAAATGTATTGTTATTTTAAAAATTAATTTCACTCCACTGAGCTTTATAAATGATCTCACCTCTAGAAAATGTTAGAACAACATAGAGGGAGGTGGCTGGGGAAGATCCTTACTTCCTTAAAGCAAATGTGAAATAAGAAATTACATTCTTTACTTTTCCTCCATATTAAAAGAGTGATACTAACCTCAGGCACAACATGAATATCATTAATGGCTGATGGATCTGAATCAAGATTACTACTGTTTCTTAAAATGGGCAATGATATCAGTAAACTTGACATTTTCAATCTTAATTGAAAGAGGGTTTGAGAGGTGATCTTCAGAGGATCTCAGGTCACAAATAAAACAGCTAAACTTTTGCTTGTTTTATGAATACTACTACCTCCTTGGCTTCCATGGTGGCTCAGACAGTAAAGAATCTGCCTGCAACGCAGGAGACCGAGGTTTGATCCCTGAGTTGGGAAGTCCCCCAGGAGAAGGAAATGGCAACCCACTCCAGTATTCTTGCCTGCAGAATCCGATGGACAACGGAGTCTGGCAGGCTGCTGCCCATAGGGTCACAGAGTCAGACAAGACTGAGAGACTTTCACTTCACACTTCACTCCCTCCTTTGCTCAAATCCTGCCAACTTAGTAGAGATTCTTCCTCCCCACCCCAAGAGTACATGGAATGTACTTTATGTGTAAAACATGAATTTTTAACAAAATACTCACACACTCATCGCCAAATAAGAGAATTTCTGAAAGATTATCAAATAAAGCATTGTGTTCATTTTACACCTAAATAAGGATGGTAAAATACAATCTAAATAAAATATTTATAAATTTGTATTTTGATGTATATTTAACTACCAACAAGTGCCTGAAATGTGACAAATATTTTTTCCTAGTACCACATTGGCTATTTATAGAAGAAGGGATCTATACATTGATAAATATGATTGGAAGATGTACCTGGCACAATATAATCTTAATATAGTACATTTGCTTTGACTATAAAATACTGTACATTTTTCTGTATATGCCCATGACACAAAATGTGAAAAGTGAAACTAGCAAAAGATAAGCAGTGAATGGGATTGTAGGTTGCTTATTATTAATGGACTATGTCTCAAAACTCCTTACTGTATATGCATGTAATCTCTTAAGAGCAATAATAAGGTCATATGTTTTTCAATACATTAGCAACTGAAAGCAATAAGCCAACAGAATAAGAAAACAAAGTCACAGATTTGGAAACTAACATTTGTTCATAACCAAAATTTATGTTTGCAGGTTACAGACTAATAATAATTTAAAAATTTGCTTTCTTCTTATGATTAACTTTATTTTAAAACAATTACTATGAACATTATATGTCCAATTATCTGATGACTCTCAAACTCTTCAGAATAGATAACTGTGTAAATTCTACCTTAGATTCCTTATTCCTAATTAAATTATAAACCCAGGATGTCAGCATTGCTTAAAAGAATAAAGCCTCATCTAGAGCAGAACAAGAGATAAAAGACTTTGAATAATAACAGTATCATGTATTCATTAAATATCCAGGTCAGAAAGTTTCTAAAGATGTAAGGATTTCAAGCATGGATTAAACAAAGGGTTAGATATGATGAAATTTAGCAGATAAAGGTAGACACATAACAGGACTATGTTCACACTCAAGCAGGCCTCCTCAAACTCTGCTGTGAATCAGAATCACTTGAAAATCTTATTAAAAATGCAGAAGCCTGGGCCCCAACTCAGAATCAATATGCCTTTAAAATATGTGTCAGAGCAGATCCTTGATTTTGAATTGTAAGTTATTACTTCTTCAGTTTGAGTCACTTAAATGTGCACATAAATATGACAGACCAAACCAAAAATGCATTGGAATAGAGATGTTCAGAAAACACCAGGGCATAAAACTTCAGATCACTTATACTCTTAATTTTGAGAAAAAGAAAATTGTTTCCAAAAAAATGATTGAATATAGTCACCAATCCTGTGTGTTCAGAATTCAACAGTGAATACCCTTCCCTATACTGAGAGAGGCAACAAACAAGTAAACAAACCAGCACACACAACTCACACCAGGTGCTGGGAAGGAAACAAGGTGTGCTGCTAGAGACAGGGCGGGAAGGAGGCTCTATTTTAGTTAGAATACTCAAGGGAGTTTCCTCGGGAAAAGTGGTGTTTCAACTGTGATCTAAAGGACGAGAAGACACTGCTCAAGCAAGCAGACAAGATGAGAGGACAACAGCCTGGGAAGAGGCCCCGAGGCGATGAAGAGCTTGTGTCTAAAGTACCTAAAGGATTCCTTCATAGATGCAGCCCAGTGAGCAAGAAGGAGGGCAGAGTTAGGTGAAGCTGTGTGGAGAAAGAAGGTCAGATGAGGTGGATCCTGGTGAGACCCAGAAAGAGGTTTGGACTTTATCTTAAATGCAGTTTTAATCTCTTGAAAAGTTTTAAGTGGAGGATCTAAGTCGATGATGGGCTATGTGTGTAGAATGAAAAGCAGTCTGAGAGTGACTCAGCGTGATTCCAATTCAGCTTGTAAATGGTATCACTTCATTTAAAAGAGCATGTTCTATACATCTATGTCAACTAATAAAAATAAATGAAAAAAAAAACCAGTATGACTTTTTTACCTTCTATGTTTGACAGAAATTAAGTAATATGTGTATTGTTATTTGGCCAGAAAAGTGATGTGATAAAAGATTCCTATTATTTCTCTGTGCCCTTAGTCTGCAATTCTAGTTATCACTGCCTAGATAAGTGATAATAAAATTAAAAAAAAATTTTTTTTTCTGATCTGATAAATATTTGTCTTCTAAATGTCTTGAAAGATTAATTAGTGAGGGTGGTGATATGTATGTGTGTCTGCATGGGAAATCCAGTGTAAAGTCTAAAACATGGTGTGCATGTGTTAGTCACTCGGTCTTGTTCAACTCTTTGCAACCCCAAAAGGCTCCAGGCAAAAATACTGCATGCGTAGTCATCCCCTTCTCCAGGGGATCTTCCTGGAACCAAACCCAGGAATCAAAACCAGGTATTCCGCATTGCAGGCAGATTCTTTACCACTGAACCATCAGGGAAGCCTAAAACATGGTAGGTGCTATTATTTTTAATAATAGTTCCCAATTGCTTGTTAAGGGATCACCCACCAATAGGATAGAATTGCCTAAAATTTAGATGGCTAGCTACCCAAAATGGCAAGTGTAATGTTTTAGACTCTTGGAATGTAGAAGTTAAATAATAATAGTTTTGCTTAATTGAAAATAACACTAAACACTCATGATATATAGCAACTGTAAGTTTGATGTGAGAAGAATCTGAATCACACTATTAAATGCACTGTGGAAAAGTCATTAAAAAAGAGAGTGGGCCATTGGCTTTGTCAATTTGTGAATACAATCAACCATCATTATTATTCAGCTACACCATCTGTATTACTGTTAGTTGGCAAAAAATGAGTAAAGTGCTTCAGTTTACAGAAATTAAAAAGCTAAACGGTGATATCTGACCTCATAAAGCTTTCAGGCCTGTGGGTGTTACTAGATGTTATTCGTTGATAACAAAAAGTTAAATAGTAGTTTCAGTTGTTCCTTGTGATTATTCATTCTACTGATCAGATAATTATATAACAGCAAGTGGTAGAGGTTCATGAAGTAAGTTACTAAACATAAGATTAGAACAAAAAAAAGACTTTTTTCCTGGACTCTATAAAGGAAAGTTTCATACTGTTCATGGAATTCTCATGGGAAGAATACTGGAGGGGGTTGTCATCCTTCTCCAGTAGACCAGAGAAGACTTGAGTGTCCCTTGGACTGCAAAGAGATCAAACGAGTCAATCCTAAAGGAAATTGATGCTGAACATCCATTGGAAGGACTGATGCTGAAGCTGAAGCTTCAATACTTTGGCCACTTGATGCGAAGAACTGACTCACTAGAAAACCTCTGATGCTGGGAAAGATTGAATGCAAATGGAGAAGGGAGCAGCAGAGGATGAGATGGTGAGATAGCATCACTGACTCAATGGACATGAATTTGAGCAAACTCTGGGAGACAGTGGAGCACAGGGAGGCCTGGTGTGCTACAGTCCATGGGTCGGAAAGAGTTGGTCACCACTGAGCAACTGAACAACAGTGACAATAAAGAAGGTAGAACATGACTCCCCAAAGAGGCCCAAGTCCTAATCCCTGGAATCTATGAATAGGTTAGGTTATATAACAGAGGAATTAATGCTTTAGATGACATTGAGGTTTGTCAATCACCTGACCTTACCATAGGCAGATATCTCCTATTACTTCAGTGGGACTAGTATAATTTTAAGGACTTAGAATTAAAGGAAGGAGGCAGAAAAGGAAAGTCAGACGTAGATCTGACTACTGAAGAATGAGCTGAGACTTCTGGGGAGCTTCAGAGATGAATGTTGCTGGCTTTGAGGATGAAGAAAGGGGATCTTGAAATGTGGATGGTCCCTAAAAAAGGCAAGAAAAGGGGTTCTCCCCAAGAATCTTTAGAAAGAAACATAGCCTTCCTTACATCTTGATTTTAACAATATGAGCTCTCCATGGTCTTTGGCCTAATTAATTAGCTCACAGATAGTCATAGGATCCAAACAAGAATTGAAACTTGATATGAGTAATGAAAAATATATGGTCTTTCTTTTGTATCACAAGCGGTAATGATGCAGTTTTGGAACTGCAAGAGCCAGCATGTCTAGTGAGAAATGAAGAATGTAGCCAATGAGTGAGAATGAAAGAGGCAAGCCAGCTATTTCTTAGACTTCACAACTGCATAAGTCAACTGAAAAAATATTCTTTTTTTCACTTTTT